ATGTATGGATTCTAAATAGGTTGGCAGCAGAAGTTCTAAGGAACATCGGAATAATACCACACTTTGGGAAGATGCTATTGATAATGTATAGATTCTAAATAGGTTGGCAGAAGAAGTTCTAAGGAACATCGGAATATACCACACTTTGGGAAGATGCTATTGATAATGTATGGATTCTAAATCGGTTGGCAGCAGGAGGGTTAAGGTATGGTTTGTAATTGATGTCTTGATCTTCAGCTTATAACGCTCGCTCGATCGGCATGGTCACTCCTATCGAGTGCAGGCCCTAGGGAAACAGGAAAGCTCTGAACGTGATAAGAAATGATTTAACGCTAAAGAGGCATCTGCATTCTATTTTCCATCCTCCAGGGATGCCGCCAGTATTGCATGGAGTTTTTCTCATCGTTTATGGCTCATCTTCGCTTCCGTCTCCTCTTTCCCTCCTTCTCAGTCCTCCATTCCCAGTCCTTCTTTCCCAGTCTTTCGTAGACTTACTCTCAGTCCTTCACTCCTAGTTTGATTAAATCTTATTCTCATTGTATGTCTGGCTGTCACTTTATTTAATTACTTTTGCAAGTTACACAGATTTGCCATCAGCTGAAAATACTCATTGCAAGGAATTATCACCTAAAAGTGCTAAAACTTCAATTTTAGAAAATGTCGAGCCCACTCATGTGAAATGAATTTTTACCTTTAGTGAGAGAAACCTGTAGGTAGTAATTGTCTTTTCTTGTGAAGACGGTCTCCACTGTGTACTAATATTAGGGTAAAATTGCTGAGAGTTTGAATGTGAATAATGCTCAAAATCCACTCTCTTACACTATTTTGGTATGTTCTTTGAGCAAGAGTTTGAGCTTGAATTTGTGAAATTATAACTGAATACTAAACTGAAACTGAATACTAAGGTGAAACTGATACTAAGAGACTATTAAAGATGTGAAGGGAGGGAATACTGAATTATTAATCTCTATCAACTCACAGTGTACTGATCTAGAGCAAATCATATATTATTAGGGAATAGCTAGCGCTTATGAGTCGAGCCTATATCCCTCCCCTATGGATACACCCACACCTTCCTAACTCTCAATGGATATTAAAAGAGGCTTTGAGAACAGTGATGGAAGCACATCTTCAATTCTTGAAGGGACGAACCATCTTAAAATATATCACAGGAGTATCTTCAAATCTATCACCTGTACTTTTTTTTCAAGGATTGCGGAGGCATCGCTCCTCCAATCTCTCACCTCCTCTCGTCAAATCCTACCCCTGACATTTCATAAGTGCCTCCGTTATCCCGGTAACCGGTCTCTCTTTATATCCCCAAATGGTCTGGCTGTGAGAAGAGATACAGATGTGCAGATTAACCCTCTTCCTTCTCATGATTCATGTATGATGGAATGTACAGTACAATTGATAGCTTTGTTTGTGTCTTTGATTGGTGAGAGGAGAAAGACTGAGAGAGAAAGAGAGGAAGAGGTGGAGACAAACACACAAGACATATTGGCAGAGAGAAAGAGGGTCAAAGAGAGAGAGGGAAAGAGAGAGAGAGAGAGAGAGAGAGAGAGAGAGAGAGAGAGAGAGAGGATATTCAGAAAAGAAGAAACATTTCACGTCAGAATCTGAATTGTGTCTGCTGATGTGTACCAAATGCTATAAAATTGTATTAAAAGGCATTTCATTATATTACAGATCTTAATTCTAGTGAGATGAAATCCTTACATATATAGTGAAGGTCTGAGTTATGCTAATGGGTAATATATTATTCTGGAATGGAAACACCTTACTTCTCACCCCAAGGTAGGTTCAATTTAATGTTTAATTACATAGTGTGTGATGTGTGTATACCAAGATGATGTTGATGTTGAGTACTGTGTACACCACACAGGTATAGGTCTTATGTTGGTCTGCACAGTAACCTCTCAATTCACTGCAGATAGAAAGACATTTGACTGTATGTATGCATCAACATTAATGGTATTATGAGGATGAAACTGGACTCAAGTAGAATTACAATTTACCAAATTTTCAACGCTGGACTGATGTGCAAGGTAGGTGATGAAGAAAGTTTATCATGGATTTCAATTCAAATCTACTCATTCTCATTGTAGCCGAGTTTTTATTTTCTCATTATTGTTTTACATCTACCATAGATAGCAGGTGCAACGAACAGATAACACTGCTCTACTAATTGACTCTGACGCATACTACTCCTGGGGTGTGTTTCACAAAGAACCTTCGTCGAACTTAACTCTAAGTTGGACTTAAAAGTTATGGAGAGCCATTTGTAGGCTTAAAATAAAATGTACTCAAAAGCAAAATCTCAAGTATTTTTGACTTTTCATAAATTCCACATCAAGAACATAAAATCTCCTTGATAATAGAAAATATGAATGATTTGAATCAATGTTTTATGCCATTCAAAATATTTTCAAAGATGCTAATGGCTTTCCATAATTGAACTTACAATTAAGTTTGACTTAGGATCTTTGTGAAACACCCCCCCCCCCTTATCTAGCATCAGTATCTAACCTTGCCATTTAATGTATTTTCTGATGGACATTCAGATTGACGTATCTAGTCTTCTAATGATTGCTACATTCTCTTATCTTTCTATCTCCCTTGAGGTATCGTACAGCAGTGTTACATAGCATTCCAAAAATGTACACAGTGACTATTCAAATGCTGAAAGAAAACCATCTACATGTAAATGACACAGAATACGCCTCAATTATTTGCATTTTGCAATCAACTTATGAACTTTCGATATACACATTTAAAGCTTTTAAAATTTATTTTAGACACCATTACACATTTTAGATATTTATTGATCTTTTTCTTGGCCATAGGGAAATCCAATCCTGTATCCTATTATCTAAACAGAATTGAACTGCTAAATGACATTGCAGGCTTCATAAAGATTTTCCAAACCCGTCACATCATGATTGCTTTTGACAAACACTTGAAACCCCTTCGTCACCTTGCGTGTACTGTGTGCCTGATGAAGTCCAAGTCCTACCCCCCGCGACCTGCCAGTTTTCTGCATCGCGGCACAATTTCATATCCTTCACGTCATTCTCACACCCCCCAGCGGAGAATGAAAACCTTGTGCCAATATTTCCCCTGACGGTATTCACAGCCTGAGAGAAAATTTATGAAAAATCAATAAAAATGCATCAAAGTGCAAATGCATAACCCAGGATTTCTACTTTTTTTTTCTTGTCTCCTCCGACTCCATTATGTACCCTGTACATGCCTATACTGTGTGCTCAGGCTTTTAATATGTCATCACATTGAGAAAACATAGTACACCTTGGATCCTTGTGTATTCCCAAGGGCATTATCACCTTGTGCATATCAAATCAAGTTTAACAAACTGAAAACCTTCGTCATGAATTATGTCCACTTGCTTTCTTCCTTCCATCTATCTCATTTCAGTTTATTTGGGTTTGTTTAATACTTTCTGTTATCTTTTGTTATGCAATGTTTGATTTTTCTTTGTTTCTTTTCATCTCTGGTTATTGGTTTATTTACAATTCTCTTGTATGATTTCTTTTTGCATATTTGTCATATTAATTGCTTTGTTATTGTGTTCATATTTTGGTGCAGTGTTTATCTGTTTTGTATTTTTGATTTTGACATGAAACATATTCATGCTGTTCCATTTCATCTTTCAGTGCTCCATATTATATTTTTCGTATCATTTCTTGCCCTTTCAATTGTAAAATTGATATATTTTCCTCTATTTTGGCAATGATGTATGATTTTTTTTCTTTCCGTTTTTTGTTTCATCATTAGAGTGATAGAGTAGCAACAGAACGAATTATCTTCCTCTAGCTTGTTTATATATTGATTTCTTCTTTCTATCAATCATGTCTCAGTGTACTTTACTATATTTTGCTTTATGAATATGAAAGATAATACACAAATCATATATACAAGGATGATACTATAGGCCTATGTCATATTTAAATACAAAGTTAGCAATAGTAATCAGATCCAGGTGAATACTGCTTTTCTATCCCCGTATTTTGAGGAAAGACTCCAAATTGTAAAAAGTTGTGCATTAAAAAAAATTAAAAAAATCATCTTTGCTGCGTCTCTCAAAACATGACAACCAATGACGTTCATTTTCCTGGAGCGTTTTGATGCAACTAGATCTTCATCTTAGAAAAAAATGATATAATATCTGGAATATAGATTTAATGGATTGCTAAAAATGAGGCCGAGCACCTGTCACTGTTAATTGAGGATAGAACCCTGGACAGGTCATTGTTATAATTATCTGAAATGCTTTGTCTTTCTTCTGCAGTATTTAAAGGAGTAAAGTAAAATTTGCTTCAGAGATTGACGGCCCTATATACATTTCCTCATTTTTTGATTGCCAAAAGCATGCCAAATATGCTTCATTATTTGTATTTGGAAGAAGTTTTAATGAATCAAATTAACAAATTTGAATGAGTTCCTCTTCAATATGCAAAACAAGGTTTTCATCGTGCATAATGAGCTAAGAATCTAAACTCCCAGTTCTTTATATTATTGAAAATGAAAAAGTTATGGTATCTAAAGATAAAAATGGACAATTTTAGTCATTCAAGAATGTTTATCTTTCTAGTGTAGATTGGTAGTACATGTGATATCTTCTTTAAGAATGAATACCCAAATATATCTGTAGTGTGCTAATGGTCATCGATATTATAGATTTTTGTTATGCATGAGTTGGTTGCAGTGAAATGTCTCACTTTCACTGTGAGTTTCTTAAAGTGTTCATTCACTTACAATCACTACCTCATCACTACCTTTTCAGGGTATTTCCCTTTCTTGGTACAAGGGACTTCCCCTGATGATTATCTTGAGGACACACCCCCTTCAGCCACACCTACTTCAGCTTTCCCATCTATCCTGTACACCAAATCCACCTTCAAGTCTTACGTTGTCCCATATCTATCTGAGCTTGATGATTTATGGTCCCTCTCTCTCCATTTTGTTCTTCTTATCTGCAGCCCGTGGTCCTCACGATGAAACAGCTCTTGGACGAGGTATCATCTACCCGGCGGCGTATCTGGGTTCCACGCAGCTCGTCACCACCAAACAACCCACCAAGAAGGTCCGCATGCAACAGGCCCAAGAGGCTGTCAACAGGATTAAGGTATACACCTACTCTCTCTCCATCTCTTTAACCCTTTATTTGCTAGCACTGTCATACTAACACAGTCGCGTGCTTAACATGAGTGCCGATTAGCACAAATTAATATGAACCAGTTGGCACAAGTTCTCTGTGCATCATAAAAACTTTTCAAAATTAAAATTTACTGTCTTGGTTAGCTTTATGATGAGCCTTTTTATGAGCACCTGTATACATCGGTTTTGTAATTGAAATATCAAGAAGTTGTTGGTAAATCTATCCCATGAGAAATCTAGTTTAGCAGAGGGAGACTCTTTGAGTGAGTATTAAAGTTTAACCTCATGAATTGGCTAAAAAAAAGCCTGATGATTAGGTTCCATTAAACCACAGTTACACAATCATACTGACTCCAGACTGAGCAATAACTGACAAAATCTTGAAAAATTAAAAGTCATGTCATTTTTTTATTCAATTAATTGTTGGTCTGGTGTTAGTCATATGGGTGTGCCTAGGGCATTAGGATCAAAAGGATACAATATGCACTCAGAAAACACAATTAGAAAAAGCAAATTTTCCTTCTTACAAAATAAGTGGTAACCCGTAACTTCCAAATTTGCTGTTTAAAGTAGTTTGAAAAAGATTCATTTATAATTCAACCTCTTTTATTCCATTTCCTCAAAACCTTGATAGTATCTGTAGATTAAAAAATTAGCATAATGTACCAGGTTCAATTTGTGATGGTAATCTAAGAACCATTTACGCAAACTGCTAATGCATGTTATGCAATCCAAGGCAAGTTTTTAATGGAAACCCTGATTTGGATCAAATGTACTTTGTGGGTGTCTATCAAGAGACCGTACGTGTTGCCAATTGTTGTATAACGCTCTTGCAGGGATCCAAAACAAATGTCATTATTCATCTATTCCTGTTGCACAATAAGATAGTACAGTAAGAGAGCAAATTGATCAAGCTTAACCATCTGTAATGCAGCTAACCTAACCTAGGAGTAACCTGCTTTGTTAATCATGAAATGCAAGATTGGACAGAAAGGCTACCTCTTAATAAAGTCAGTTCTGAAAAGAAGGTCATGTCAAAGTCTGTATATTTTCCATGCTAACTTCTAATATCCACCCCATTCCTAGTATACAAAGTTTACCAGCAAAATTGCAATTTTTTTTTTTTAGATTCAGAAGGTTACTAAATCTTGTGATAAAGTTTATGATTTAATCTTCTGGCTCCAAACAGACGATATTATACAAAATAAAGTAGTTAATTATTAATCCTTGAGGTCATATTATTTCAGCAGTCTTAGCATGTAAACTTGTTAAGAATTACATCATATGTTTGAGTCACTTGTGTGGTTTCTTAAAGCCATCAGTCTTTTGACTAGAATGTCCTCGGCAGTCTACAGTATTACTGAAAGAGAATATAGATACAATCGCTCCAAATCAATTCTATCCAGAATAACACTTTATGGCAAAAAATAGGGGTCACTTATAGGGCATCGTGACCGTACAGACGCCAGCCTGTGTCTTAAAATTGAAGTGGGGGGGGGGGGGGGGGAGTTCATTGCGATTTTCGAAAGGTTTGACATTTGTAGAAGAGTAACCACTCTACGTTTTAATCATGCATGTACTAACTCCTTTTTTCACATTTGTCACAAGCTTAGATCGACAGAGTAGAAGTTCATAAATTAAACATTTCCTTTTCTTGATGCATTAGTGGGACTGTATACACCAGTGATCTTGAATAGAGTATTTTATTAGTGGCTCCTTTCTGGCTTATCACCAAGATCGCCTTAACATAGCATAAGTAAAGTAGAATCATTAACATCAGTGTTTCTATAACTCTGTTTCTTGCACTCCTTTTTCAAGATTGTTCATCAGTAGGGCAAAAAATTATATTTCCATGAGAAATAACATGAGCTTCTCAAATAGTTCATTACTTTATATACATGTAAACGTTTCTTTTTAAATGCATTAGTTGGACTATGCAAAACAGATCTTAATTGTTTCCTATTATTATCTGTTTGGAGCTCTAAATTTGTTTAAATAAATATACTAACACATTATGGCTTCAAACAGATGAATTATACTTATCAGTGCTTTAGTCAATATTTCCCTACTTCTTTTTCTAAAGCTCCTTGTTCAAGATTGTTCATTATAAAGCTAATAAAAGAAGCCAAGAGCGTAAGCCCTCTGTATTAGTCTTGAGAGTAAGGATGATTATGAGGGTAGAGGAAAGGAAGGAATGTTTTGTCATGCCATGCCCCCGTGTCGAGTACAGTCACCCATCGTTGAGTTTAATTCATCAACGTCGTGCGTAGTGACATCACATATCACTCATCCTTGTCCCATATATGTTGCAATGCTTAACACGTCTAGCGTTGATTGCACAGCCATATATGCTTCCATCTTGGGGTACTTGCATGGTGAGATGAAAATACTAGGCATTATGAGGGAGGGATAGTTTAATGTAGTGTAGGGAGGATTAATAATAGGAGATAGAGAGAGTGAGGGATAGTTTAATGTGTAAGGTAGGATTAATAATAGGAGAGAGTGAGGCATGTATGAAAGCTAATTTGGAGGTAATATAGAAGATGACAAAATTCAGAGGTTGATGGTTCATTCTTTTACCTAGCTGGCTGCTAAGAAAGCATTATGCTTGTAAGTAAGCAACAAGAGGACCAACGGCTTTAAGTCCTCTCCTCGGGACTTGGTAATGAGGATTAATGCCTTAACACAGGACACGAGCACATTTACTTGGTTACGAACCAGGGACCTCTCGGTTTCGAGATGACTGCTCTACCACTGAGCCATTGCGCCTCCTCGTAGGAAAACTATACAAACATAGATGAAACAAACGAGAAGAGCGGGATTCGTAGAGACTAATTATTGGTATGGACAGGAGTTCAGTTTCTGAAGGACAGGCCTGAGATTAGCAGGAGTTTCTGCTTTTAGATGAAAATGGAAAGAATAAGATACAGAGATATTAAAGATGAAAGGCAAAACGAAATGATATGGGTAGGACGGTGACAGAAAGTTAATACTTAGGAGTTGATAAGGAAGAGATGGTAATGATGGAAATGATATGATACAAATATATAGAGAGAAAGGAAATAAGAAATAGATACTTATACAGGCAAAGAGTAGGCTTGATAGACAATAGCAAATACATAACAACATATGGAAGGTTTTAATGAATTGTCTCATTTTGACAAAAGGTCAGAAAATATTATTTCAGTATAGATGCTAAGGAAAGAAAGTGAAAAAGAAAAATCAATTGAGTGATTGACCTTGTGCATAAGATGTAATTGAGGGGAGGGGAGTTGGGTTGAGAGATTCAGTTTGCCTGATTACCAATCAATTCTCATTAGGTAGAATTCTATTACTCTATCTCAATCCAAATCTCCTCTACAATTGGAAGTGGATTGAGATGAGCTAATGTACATTGGAATGGATTGCTCCTCATCAAGAAAAAGCTGTTCACATTATTGCATAATGTAGAAATGCTCACTGTAATGCGAACGTGACGACAAATGATTTCAAGAATTCACCCTGGGGCCACTATCAATACTCTGTTAAAAATGTCCATAGAAATAATGTTTGAATTATACATGAGGCCATCGTAATTTTCACACGTATGGATCGAGAAGAACAAATGTTTATTGGAATGGATCGTTCCTCATCAAGAAAAAGCTGTCCACATTGCTAGAAACCAAACTATGATGTGAACATGATCATAACTACTTTCAAGAAATCCCCCTAGGCCACTGTCAATACTCCAGTGGATTTCCAGTAGAAATGATGGACGTTTAGATTATTTAAGAAGTTGGAGTAAATCCTCACATTTGCTCTTGTAATTTGATGAAGCTATTGACAATGTCCTTGCATTAATTAATTGATTTCAAGTAGGTATTTTAATTTGTGTTCACTTGTAACACAATTTGATGTATTGATAAACCCCCTTATAATAATAATATACCATACTTATAAAGCGCATATCACAATATGTCTCTATGCGCTGTAAGATAGACTAAGGAAAGGTGGACAGAGTAACATAAGCATTATTTTAATTGCATTCAACTTTTTGTGTAATATGTTTGTATCTCTTTGGGATTCTTGGGGAAAGAAGTGTGGACGGCTCTAGTAATTGCTAATTCCATGGGACCTGGCAAGCAATGTTGATTTATGTGTTTGGTTTTCATGTGTGGTAATTTAGAATAAATTGGCAGTAAATCATATTGGGATTGTGATTTGAAGAAGAAATAAAAAATCAATAATACCAGGGCTGGTTTTTGTTGGAAACTACTCGAGCATATACATGTATATATTTAGGATACTGTAATATGTTCGTCCTGATCAAGATGTCATAATATATGACAGGGCTTTCCCTGAAGGGACTATTTAATCAAATTTGGAGCATAATAGGGGTCCCTCTTGTACAGCAGAAAGGACATCAGCTGAATTTCATTATAATGCTCCTGCGCTGTTTGCGATGTCGTGGAGAAGATATTATAATGATACATAATGCCGGAATACATACAATGTTACAAGCGAAGATGACGATTTAAGCCCCTGTTTCGACTCTTGAGACCTCGCGGGAGAAAGGCAACAAAAACAAGTGAAAATCAGTGCATGTATCCCAAGTTTCCTAACTACGTGTAACCTAATGCTACCCTAGTCTATGGCCCTTGAAGGAAGCGCTCTGGCATATGGTCTTTAGTGTAAGAAGAGATCATCCTTTAAACCTAGGTCATAGTAAAGGAAAAGAGAAAGATTGAAGACATAATTACTTCAGTATTACCTTCAGCCAGTATTGAATAACCCAAGCCTCTAGACTCCCAAGCTATAGTTTCCACCCTATTATTCTCTTATCAAAATGTTGAAGGTTGTCATTGTTTGTCTCCCCCCCCCCCCCCCCCCCTCCCCCACCACCAAACACATTGTGTGATAGATTCATATTAAAATACAAGTAAAGATGAGGTGTAATGGTAGATAGGCTTATCATAATAATATCATCTGTTGTGAGCCAGAAGGGCATTAATTAATTCTGTGCCAAAGCATTTGAGTAAACGCCCTTCCAGAGCTGCCAACTAGTACGGATTTCCCGTAATTGTTACGGAAATTAACGACCATTACGGAATGTTGTCTCAAATTACGGATTTAAAAAAAAAAAAAAAGATTTATTTTTTTTATTTTTTTTATTTTTTTTAATAATTTTTTTTTTTTAAATAAATTTAATATGATTTATCGTAGCGAGTGCTGTGAATAGAAGCCATTTTTCATGATAAACTGTGTTGTGATCACCTGAAATTCAATATTTAACATCTTTGTGTGAGTAAAATCACCAAATATTTCAGATAATCATGCGTCCGCGCAGTGTTGGCGTGCCGTTTTTTTAGATTCATAGCGCCGCATAAGAAATTACTGATTTATACCCCAAATTACTGATTTTGAGCCTTGTGATTACTGATTTTCTGTTCTGGAGGTTGGCAGCTCTGCCCTTCTGGCTCCAAACAGATAAAATACATGTAATAAATATATTGCTTGGAATATCAAAAGCGACCCAACTGTATACAATTTGAAATCTGTTTTCTTCTCTATGTAATAAATAGACTATGACAAATGTTACACTGCATTTGTTTAGGCAGTAGCTTTATTGTTTACGTCAGTGGCATTTCTGTGCCATAGATCATTATCTTTTAGCCTTGTTCTCATAATGGTGCCTTCCAAATGCATCTCAATTAAGTCGATGTGATGGAATAGACTCGCCAATGACAAGGCCCCATCAATTTAGGAAAATTGTTAGATTTAGATCGTATGAGCTAGGTCTTTTGGCTTGTAGCCCTGTAGTGGAGTGAGTTTCAAGAGCAAGTTGATTAGATGTCCTGACTCATCAATTTACCGGTAATCTATGATACCAGCAGTCATGTCATAGGGTTTAATCTGGCAGTTGGATCGAATGCCTTCTGGGCATCTTCTGGGCATCTTCGGGCCGTGTTCATTTCTCAGTTTGCCCATTTAGCTGCGCCGTCTTGTCAAACACAGTAATTAATTATTTCCTTAGATAATATAATAAAGAGCAGTTTTTTCCATCTACCTCTTTGACATTGCTGCTTTTTTACAATACTTGTCAATGATAAGAAAGTAAACACAATCAGGACCCCGTCTTACAAAGAGTTGATATCACAACTTATTGATGTCCATCGCAACTATGTACATAAGAGATAGGAGACTACAAACTTGTGATTGATTGGAGGATTTATGATTGATTTGGATCAATCGTAACTCTTTGTAAGACGGGGCCCAGCTAGGGCGTGGTCTTGGTATATGTCTTGGTTTGTGAGGATGCATGCATGTTGCACATTGAAATGCTGACATGCATTATGTAAAGCATGGTCATAGATCTTCTTTCAATTTCTACAGGAGATCGATACTCATTATCCTCCATCTAATCATACTCAAGTTGTCTTGTCCAAAATTATTATGTAGTCCATGGTGCGGCAATGTTGTGAGCTAGCTATCTTCGCATCATGAGAGTTCAAGATCTAAAACAAGGAATATTAATATCTTGAGTTTAAAGCGTAACTATTGTGAACAAACCTTGAATCCTTATGTTTTAATCTACTTCATTGAATTGAACATCGCAACATTTTCTGGATAAATAATTTGGGAACTTTCTGTTAATTAATGAAATGAAACATATAAGCATTTATATTACAATCATTTTTGTGTGAATACCGACACATTTTTTGAAGATACCGACACATTTTTGGAAGATTTCATATTTCAGTAACTGGTTTTATTATGATGAGGTGCTTGTAATATCCCTTTTGTAGTAAATCTTTATCACAGTAAATAATTTTATCATGGGTAAAAAGGGATATTAATGGTATAACACAAAGTGCAGGACTGCAGATAAATACCACTCTTATCAATATCCAGTTATGAAGAAAATAGTTACCAACAGAATATTGATCTATTGACAATGAAAGCATGATGTTTCTTGAACCATGCCATGCCATGCATGGACATCTTTGTTTTGTTTTTCATAATAGTATGGTATTCCTCTTCTTTTTTTTCCTCCTCCCTTTTTCTCCCATACCCTGCATCATTAGACACGACTTAGGAAGCGCTGGTATAAGGTTGGCATTGCATTTTTGAGCTATCATAACCTCTATCTTCTCATGTATCTTTTTGATATTCACATTGTTTGATGCGTCTTGTCTTGGGCAGAAAGGGCGTAACTCCACTTTTTCTCCATTTCAGCACAACCACAACTTGTTTATTATTATATTAGTGTGTTTATACAAAAGTCTTTCTTGCTATGTAGCTGTGTGTCATGACCGAAATGAGCTTTTTATATCTGCAGCCATTTTCGTCATCTGCTTGACAGCCAGAAGGGTGCTTACTCTCACAGGATATGAGTTAGTGCCCTTCCTGCTCTCAGCGGATGTTATATATGTATGACAACAGTATCACATGGAGAAGCCAGGGTTACCATCTAATCACATGTATTTTGTTTCACTCTTATGTAACAGTCACTTAAGTCCTTTACGCACTCAATGTATCCTTCAATATTTCTTCTAATACATGTACTTTGTAATATCCACCAGAGTATCTATCCTACAAAAAAATTAAACCATTCATAAAATAGTCTATTTAGAGCGAGAAGGGTATAGACTCTTTCAACACAGAGTTAACGCCCTTTTAGCGCTGAGTAGACAACATATTCAATTCAGCACCAGATCAAGTGTGTGTGTTCTTTGTTTATTATATCTCTCTTTCTTTCTATCTTCCTGTCTCTCATTTTTCATCTTTCCGCTATGAAGGAGCGGCCTCCACCAAAAGTACATAAACCAAAGAGAAACGTATGCTCTCTCTTTCTCTATCTATCTCAATATATCTTCATGTTCATCATGTATTTCTTCTCTCCTTTGTCATTAATGTGGTGACACCATTTTCTTTTTGGTCAGTCTTGTGATTAGCATGTAAATTAAAACTCTGCATGCATCCATATCTCTTTTTATTGATTATCTCCTCGTCTTATGAACATCATTATTACATCAAGTCTCCCTTGTAGAGTTTCTTTCTATACATGCTCAGGCAGTGTGCCGCAATCAGCCTGTTTTGATCCCCTGAAAAATTGTGCATCCACTTAAGTGTACCTTATACAGGGTTATTTTTTCTCTCCATTAGGTTGCTATTCTTATAAATGTACGAAGAAGACTCTTGGTTAAATAAAGTCAGATAAAGAGTAAATAAATTCAATTATTTTTGCTTGGAGTAAGTAAAAAAAAAAAAGAGTGAACTTCTCTATAAAAGTTCACCACAGAAAGAGAGGGAAAAGTATAAAGAATGCCAGAAATAACAATTTGCTCAAAATCACATTTTCATATCTTTTTCTTGTATAAAAAGTCCAATAGTGGGGAAATGGAAGCCAAATTCTCTTTGCATGTTATATTATTTCACCTCTTCATTGTATTTATATCTTGTGATAGTCTCTTTTGTTCCTTGTGATGTGTCTATTCACAGTGTCTGTCTGATCACATTGATTATTAAAATCAACAGGAAAAAAAAACACTAACCCTGTTATATAGTCCTTCCCCATTTTCATACTCTGATGGATATTAAGCATGCAAAATAATTTCAATTTCCATCACAAACTAGAGGTGGCAAATCAATCACTTCATTTTGTGTGTGATAAGATGGTATTAACTATGGCTTCATCGTGTATATACTCTTCGTCATACTATATAACACATGTAATATTCCCATTGACCCACCGTCATTGTAACTTTGTGAAATTACTTTTACCTTTATATTGAGTCTTGATGTGTAAAGTTTTGTGTTTTTTGTATTTTTGATGTTTGACTTTTTGTATTCTCCCGATTGTAATATTTGTGTATGGTGCAGATATAGACCTACTAAATATTGGACCCCCCCCCCCCCCCCTCACACATTGTATGAAGCATATATTTCAAACTCTTTTTAATCATCATGATATATTAGTGAACCAATACCTATACATATATATGTTGCTCCTGTGCCCTGCCTATGGAATTGACTCTCCTCATGAATTAGATGAGTGGTACTAGAATTGGCAGGATATATTGTTCAGTTGTATAAATTAGTGATTTTTGTTTACTCAAACATCTTTTGAACATTGGGAAAATAATTTATTTGCCATGAATTCTGTGAATCCAGATGAATAATTAAATAGAACATCACTTGATTGAGGACTTCAAAAAAAATTTCCTCTACAAGATTTTCGCAAATTTTTGTTTCTGTTTTTAGAAGTCTATAGCTTTAGATTGTGATATGTTTTCATTTGTCAGAGTACACAGTGTATGCATGTAAAGTACCAGTGTATTGTATACAAATATACACTGTCTTCAGAGGTTCTGGTTAAAACTATGGGAGTCACCGAGGCCCATAGTTTTAACCAGTACCTCGAAAAGAAGGCAGGGTATACATGTATTTGTAAAAGAAAATGTAAGGAAATATAGATCTACTTGAATGTTCATATACTTCACAAGTCTGCAAGAGATCACTATTGCAGATGTGTTTATAGCATTTTACTCTTAAATGATATTTTTCTTGGTGAGAATATGTTGCTGCATTATGTTTTTATTTTGCTGACTTTGCTTACAGTGGATAATCATTTGCAATATTTATCATTTTGCCAAACACCTTTAAAAATAGAATAATGATGACTTATAATTTGTGAGCAGTGCGTATCTTATTAATTAAGTCCTCTTCCCTGTTTAAATTAATGTGTATGTAAAGATCAAAGATGGTGTACTTCCTACATCAAGATTATTATAATATTATATTGACACACAGCATTAAGCAGTAATCAATCATTCATAGTGTTAAATGTTATATATTTTTAGTTACAGTGAATGATAAGCCATTAATTTTCTAGTGAACATCTGTTAGATTTTTGATTTTTTTGATTTTTTTTAAAATTGCTTAATTTCTTTGCAACAGCTGTCTGTGAGTGTCTGTGTTATATTACAGCTGTGTCACTCTGTGCTTGCCCACTTTCTAATGATATTTTATATGGATTTGTAACTAACAGGAAATTGGATTTCTTGTTTTTCATTTGCCTTGGGAGAGAGGTATTACCAGTGTCTAATAGGATGTATTGCACTTTCGGGTGAAAATACTTCAAGCAAAATTTTACCATGGTTTTATAGCCACACTCTGATTGAAGTGATCGCTATTCTTCCCACAAAATGTATGCCATATGTATTTCACCTCCTATGTTAAATAACTGTTGTCATATTGGTGTATTCTAATAGTGGTTGAAGCTATTTCCCCAGTATACCTGTGTATTAAGAGCAGATTGATATAAGTAGTTATTTTTGACAGGCGATGACAGATGATGAGAAATGATGATAGGTGATGATGGTAGATGATGTTGTTACTATGGTGATAATATAGATGAATTAGTAACCATGGTGATAATGTTTGATTTGTTTTTGACAGTCCCCTGATGGGGAGGAGCAGCCTAGTACAGAGGTAGACCTCGCCATCTCCAATGAACGCATCAGGGTACTCAACGCTGACAACCAAGTCAGCAACATGCAGGTAAAACATTATACCCTCTTGCCTCCAAGTTCCTTTAAAGCCCCACAGCACTACTTGTAGCTACTTGCACCCTCTATATAGCAAACAATACCTAATCGGTGACTATTGGTCCCCCATGGTCCCCTTTTTCTTATGTTAATTGAGAGGTTACTGGTATTTGATGAGATTACCACCTGTTCAGTGACCATGCAGGGAGGTCTAATCCCTCCTAGTGAGGTGGGGCTTAAAGCCATACTGTACTGAAAGCATTACCTCAAAATCCCCTCTAGCTCCATCTCAGGTTAGCTGTAGCAGTATGGTCCCGTAACTTGCTGCTTCCCTAGCTGCGCTGATGGTTCTCTCATCAAGTTCTCTGTCTGCGAAGTAGGAGTTAGTGACTGGGTTACGCACTGTTGGCAAGTTGACCATAAGAGGGGGCTGTGCAATAAACAGTACGCTTGGGCAGAAAGCTCATCCGTTAAGTATCGCTTTAAAACACAGTGTACTATCCAGGCCCCAACCTCTGATGTGATATATTTGAATATCAGAGAATGATTTGTGATTGTACCTTTCATTTGAGTTCGATTTCTTGTGGCAGAATTATTGAAAAAAAATCAATGGTATATGTAGCATATTTTCAACCTGTTATATGTCTCCTGAGGAAGTTTGGGGTGAGAATCGTTAGAAATTCATATAGAATGAAAAATAAAATGCCCCTAATAGATGAAGTACGTAAGTTGTTGCATTTAATGTTCCACTGAGAGATGGTACAAATCGTTTCAAGAGGATGGCCAGACAGTAAAATATGAAAAATAAAGTACACACTTTGAAAATATTGAATGTTTGTTATGACATTTAATTGTGTAGGCTTGTTTCTCTTTCCATAACCAACAAGCAAAATGCACATTCTGTGTGCCCAGTATTGCCATTTTTTTCTGAACGATAATCAAAAGTTCTGAGTATAACCTTGATCAATATATTGAGTCAAAATTGTTCAGAAAAAGATACTACTTCATAATCAAAAATTCACCACAACAAAATGCTTGAGAGCTTACAAAAAGTTAATCTGGATGGTAAGAACATACATCGCGTATCTAAACTTTACTGGGAGCAGACAACTGCCATCAAAATTACCAATGAAATTACAGGTTACACAAAAATCAAAAGAGGAGTATGCAGGGATACGTAATGTCCCCATCTCTGTTCAACTTGTGAATTTCATCTTCTTCATTTCGATCTTGAACCTCTTCCCCCAGGAAACCATGATGGACCATCCCCTGAAGACCATCTCCTACATCGCCGACATCGGTAACATCGTCGTGATCATGGCTCGACGTCGCCAGATCACCAGGACGCTGGACGAAGCCATGGAGGAGAGCGGAGTCATGCTGGATGCTGAAGGACGAAGGCAACCAAGGAAAATCATCTGCCATGTTTTTGAGACAGAAGATGTAAGTAGTGTCAGGGGATGATGGAGTCAATACGGGAGAGAGTGACTTGTGCAAATAGTTTGGTTTGTTTTAAAAATGGCAGGAATGTCAGCTTGAGTTTTGATAATATAGTTGCTTGTCCTTACTTTCTCTGACATCCACTCTCAGATTGCAATATATTTCTCCCTTTCTTTCATTTCTACATTTTAAATTTTGTCTTTGTCTGTTTGACTCAGTTTGAATATTTTCTTTCTTCTCTCCTACTTCCTATCCATTATGTCAGTATATTTTCACTGTACCTCTCTCTCTTTCTTTCTGTATTTGCTGGTGTTATACCACTCTTCTCACTCTTCATCTCTCATTAAATGTCTGTACTCCCTCTTCTATTATCACCTCTGCCTGTATCATATCTATTTCTCTTTCTTTTTCTTCTCTCTATGTCTCTCTGTTTTCTCACTCTTCTTCTCTCCTTCAGTCATTTTTTGCTTGTGTCATAGACTCATATACATTATATATGTATATACATGTACACCTCTCTCTCTCTCTCTCTCTCTCTCTCTCCCTCTCTCTCTCTCCCTCTCTCCCTTTCTCTCTCTCTACTCTGTCTCTCTCTGCCTCTCTACCCGCTGTCTCCCACTCTAACTACCCACTCCGACTTTCCTTCACTCTCCCACTGTAAATATCCCCATTTCTTGCTCTCTGTAATCCATCCCCAAGCAAGCGAGAGTAAGTCTACAAGGGGCAAACTTCAGGGATATCAAGCCTGATATTGATGAAAGCTCTAGCCCTAGATAGAGGGCCATGAGCAAACACAAGTCAAATGTTATGTCTACCTTTCCATGTTCACCGCTAGCTTTCACTCGCATCACAAAACAATGTTTGTCGGGGCTACTCTTATAACATGCATTATAATTAGGGCAGCAGGGGTTGTAACCAGGTAATAATTTGCAAGGCTCTTTAGAAAGGCATGGAGGTTTCATATACATTATGAAACAAGAATAGAATATTTTCTTTTATGACTATGATACATGTAAGTATAGGAAGTATTATACTTGTATTGGTCTCGCGAAGTACATGCTCTCTTTTATAGGTGGCAAAATCAGCGGTTAAGAATATAGATTTATTGAGTACACACACTCGACCTTTACATTGCAGTTCTATGCCTATTTTTATAACCATTTCATTTTGGGAAGAAATTGTATTCAATATTAGTGAGAGTGATGCTTTTTAATATAGAGAAAAGAGGTTTGCATTTTTTTTTTTTAATCGCTGCCTATCGAAAAGGTTTGTTTAAATCACAACAGAAAGGAAAAATCTTTTTCTTTTGTTAATTTTGTGATTAATTTAGTTTACATCACTGACTTATAAATTGCAATGAAAATTATTTTAAAAAGACCTACATGTATGACAAGTTGACAACCACACAGTGCAGTAGAAAATTGGGTTTTCAGGTATTAGATTACATTTCCTTCCAAATGCAGTTTACAACCGGCAGTTATGTGGAGTTTAAAATACCAATTTTTAGCCTAATGACTTCCCTGGAGCAGTGTCTACGAAACATTATTCATGTTAAATGTCCTCCTCATGATCTCATTCCCATCTCTTTCCATAGGCACAACTCATAGCACAGACGATAGGCCAGGCCTTTGCACTAGCCTACCTGGAGTTCTTGAAAGCCAATGGTATCGAAGACCCACACGCCCAGGAGATCGACTATCACGATGTGCTCAACTCTCAGGAGATCTACGGCGATGATCTCATGCTCTTCTCAAACAAGGAATGCGAGAAAGAGGTAATGGTAGCCACAAATTTAATTTGATTAATTTTATTTCTGCATTTTTCCAAATATAATATAACTGAATAACAAAGAACATATAAATATTTGATATAATACAACATATACAAATAATAATTACTTCATGTCAAAATGTTTTGATTTTGATTTTTTTTAATTTTACATATGTACATATAATAACGAAAATTAAGATTTCCTTAACAAATTATCATAAATTTAAAGTATTATCTGAACTATCTGTTTAAAAAGTGCAGGAGACCGCAATCATAAGCGATGCTCGACTAGGATGGCGGCCTCATGACAAATTATGTAGAACAAATTCTATATTTAAAACATATATACAGGGCTTGATTTGAAATGGAATAGGATATCTCATGATTTCCAAATGAAATCATTTTAAAAAAAGACATGTACATGTAATGTAAAGAAGGGGTATACTAATCTGCAGTTTTGTAGCATAGATTTTTGAACATTTTAAAGATTTGTTTTGACAAACATTTCATGGGCCAAAGAGACAGTATTGAAAAAAGGGTATTGGGTAAAAAATGTTATGTTGGCTTGAAGTTAAGATTATCTTGTGATTTTGCCTTAACAGACTTCATATGGCATTATGTCAAATTCACATTATATTTGTCTATATTCCAGCCATTTAACAGGGTAGCATTTTGTTATTGCTCCATTCCCTTTATATCTGAAATGGTCTGACTGGCAACTAGTGAAGCAGAGTTGATATGGTGTGATATGAAACAGACAATACAGAGTATAAGATATAAACCCCATGACAGTACTAGCTATCTATAGCGGTGATACGCTTGATGAAACATATCTCTTTCATATCATCAGATAGTACTTGGTGTAAATGAGAGTGGGGATCATTCCCTTCGGTTAATTACCTGGGAGACTAGTTGGTGACCGGGCATGAAATGCGTTAATGGGGAATTCATAATCTTCATTAATATTGATGCAAGTTCTACCCCGTGTGTAGAGGATGCGACTTGTGTGTCTTTATGAGCGTATCAAGTAATTAGGAATTGGATAACGAGCTTTAACGCTCTGAAACCGGAGATGGAATGTACTTAAGTTTTAACCACACTATTTTGTTTGTGCTACAAATTATAAATGGAGAGGTGTAAATGGAACCTCTCGAGAGAAATTCACATCATTTTTTGTTTTGTTTCTGTACATACATATCCTGCAATGAAATTTGGGTGCTACATATAAGTACATAATCTGCGTTCCAAAATAGCAGACTTCTACATTGTAATCATTTGTAATACTATGAAGATGCTCATAATGTATTAAAATCACCATCTGTTGTGGCTGTAGTTTCGCAGAATTTTGACTATGGCAGGTAGAGGTGTTGTAGTCTAGTGGTTTAATCACTTATTGGCACTTTTGTTCTTAAGCAAGGCATTTTATCTACTTTGCCCCTCTCCACCCAGGTATTGATTGGGTAGGAGCCGAATGGCATTGTGGTTAGATTAGCACTTGCATGCTCACAATAAAGCGATTAGCTGGAATGCTCCCGAGGGGAGTGGAGAATGTGCACTATAATGTGCAGAATAGTACATGAAGTTATTGAATCCAGTGACCGGGTAATAATTAATCCTGTAAGGGCTTTAATCAGAAAATGGTGGAGTGATATATTTAGGGAAAAAATGTATTATAATTATAAATGCATCCCCCTATAAATTATGCTATCAATAATACGCATAAAATATATGTCTAAGTGATACATGAGTGTAGCTGAAATCAGCCCAAATGCCCCAGTATAGCGAACTGGTACAATGATCACCAATGCAATGCATTTCTAAGCATTTGCATTTGCATTGCTTGTGGGCTGGGAATTCATCCTAAGGCACCAGCAAGAAGGGGATGAAGATCCTTTTTTTTTGTTGCTCAGTATCAGTCATTCAACTTGATCTCGGGTTCCTCTCACACACTGTAAGAAAGTGCATGCTCATGGGTCAGTTACAAACAGATACTTACCCAGTGGAAGTGCACAGAAGATGAATAAGGAAACCATCTCCAAAGGATGAAATATGACAGTGTACATTGACATGTCCATTTGCGATGGGTCATCGTATCCATGTGTTAATGTTTTGCATTGATTTGCATTTTCAAATCAAGCCACAGCTCCATATCATTACAAAATCATACACCGCAGCTGCGTGTTGAAAAAACTGCTTTATATATAATTGGGAGTCTCTTTAAATTGTGTTTTATAGGCCATGTTGATTGCTTTTGGGAACAAAAAAGGGGGAAAAAAGGGAGAAAAAGAAAGAAAGAAATACAGATTCAATTTGAAATGTTGAATGGCAGGAATATATCATGAGATTGATTCTGCTAGTATGATACAGCAGCTGTTTTCACATATATGCAGTCCTAGTTTCATATGAGCGAGCTAATGACAGGTGCAACATTGATATTCACCCATCAGGTTTTCATTATGTAGGGGGCAAATAATTCTATTTTGCCTTCAATTTTTTACCTTTTAAAAATATTTTCAGAAAATTAGTGATAAATAGTCTTATCAATCATACATCATGACTCAATTTTCAAAGGAAGATGATATTAGAAGAGGGAATAATGTAGAAAATTCACTACTGAATTAAAAGTGAATTTTCTCATTCGCACAGGCGTCACCTGGTTCCCCTAGGCAATGGGTTAACACATATATTTGTTTCTTTTATGACAGGTGTTGGTTGAGAAGGAGAGGGGTGAGATCATGGGCATGGTGGTGGTAGAATCAGGGTGGGGCTCGCTCATCCCCACCGTGGTCATAGCAAACATGTCTCCGTTTGGTGCTGCTGCTAGGTCGGGCAAGCTCAACATCGGTGATCAGGTGATGTCCATTAACGGCACCAGCCTTGTAGGGCTTCCATTACAACAATGCCAACAAACGATAAAGGTGAGTTGCAGCACACACCATATAGTCGATACATTTCCTCTAGTCCTATAGCTAGTCTGCAAGCACAAACCCTGGTCAGTCGTAAAAGTGAGTCTACACTATAAGACTACTATAGGCCATGTACTGTAGCTGCTCCTGACACAACCAGTAAGTAGCTGGGCTAGACTTCTCTCAAGGCACAATGATTTGTTGATAAAGTGTCAAATTAGGGTCTGTGCTTGCAGACTATCCTATAGCTGCCAACCATTCCTATTTTGAAGGAATGATTCCTATCCTGTAGCCTTCAAGCTATTGTTTTGAAACCTAGATTCCTCTCTTTTCTGAAATATTCTGTGTGAAATGTATCCAAAAATAGGATGTTTTCCTAATTTTGCCTTGAGAGATTTCTCATCTTTGCTATGAAAGGTTGGCAGGTATGTATAAAAAATAAGGCCTTTTGAAGGGCATTGGAGCACTCTGTTTCTGGGTGACGACTATGTGTAAGATGATTTTGATTTCACACTATTTGAAATTAGTGTTGAATAAGGATGGAAACTTAAATGGATGAAATTAATCTGTTGCAGTTGAGTATGAAACAAATAAAAATAAAATCAACTACAAGCAAATAATCTTTCATGAAATGTGGTTATAAGAGGTTATCTGAATGTAGACAGAAATAGTATCATCCTTTGGAATCTCCTTGTATTCGAGAATGTGGAGATCTGGATGATTCATTTCAGTGATTCGAACATTTAAAATTGTATATTTATCTTACATTTTTTGTACAAAGAGAACCTTGTTTTTCTTCTTGATATTCAAAGTGAGCTCATAATGTGTGAAGTTAGATCCCATGAAACAATTTTTGTATCAAGATAGATGATCAAAAAGTTACTGTGATAAAAAAAAAAATGATCACAACTGTTTTGTATTTAATTTTTTTTTCTTCAAAATTTATTTATTTATTTTTGTACTTTTGTTTATGGAAATGACTTATTATAGTCAAGTGTCACACACATACAATAAAGTGATGACGATTTTATTTTTAATTTTGTCTTGCAGGGATTGAAGAGTCAGTGTCTTGTAAAGTTCAATGTTGTATCATGTCCGCCTGTTACTCAAGTCCTCATCAAAAGACCAGATACAAAGTACCAGCTTGGCTTCAGTGTTCAAAACGGAATCGTAAGTAGGACAACTTCGCTACAATCTAAATCTCTCACTGTAATAGGAATGTGTGATTTGAATTTTTAAATGCAATTGTACAGTGCGTCCCAAAAAAAATGAAACCGAGAAGTATCGATGTTTTATCATAACTTAATCACAACCATAATTAATGAATGATACATATTTGGAAAGCTTAGAGTCTCCTCTTTCAGTTGATGCTACTCACGTGATGCATATTTTACGCATGAGTGATTAACAGCAATTTGAAGGAAGGAAACCGAAAAGTAATTTGGCGGGCGGTATCTGAATTTCAAAGAAAAATTCATATTTCCAGAAAGTTCATTTTCTGCTCTTTCATATGATACCTTAATCAAGAAAAATGAGCGAGGAATAACAAAGTTCTGTTTATTTAAAGTAGCCCTTACATTTTCATAATTTTAACAAATGAATTTTGTTAATTTTGTTTATTAATATGACAGGCAGCCAGTGAAAACGAATTCGTTTATGGAAATGCAAGCACTACTTTAAACAAACAGAACTTTGTCATTCCTCGCTCATTTTTCCTGATTGAGGTGTCATATGAAAGGGCAGAAACTCAACTTTCTAGAAATATGAATTTTTCTTCGAAATTCAGATACGGCCCGCCAAATGTCTTTTTGGTTTCCTTCCTTCAAATTGCTTTTAATCACTCATGCCTGAAATATGCATCATCTGAGTAGCATCAACTGAAAGAGGAGACTCTAAGCTTTCCAAATATGTATCATTCATTAATTATAGTTTTGATTAAGTTATGATAGAACATTGATACTTCTCGGTTTCGTTTTTTCTGGGACGCACTGCATAATATCCCTTTTCAATCATTATTATTTTTTGCCATTTGTTCTCCCTTTCTTTATATCTTTCTCCCTGACTCTCACCCTTTCTTGTACTCTTTCTCTTGTTTAACTTTTCTCTTCCTTTTCTTGTCAAACGATGCATTTCTCTCAAAGAAACTTGCGTATTACGTAAGGCACAAGGAATAAATTTACATGTCTCTTTTGCATTATTATTGTAGTATTATACCAGGGTTATTGCATTAATGCAGTATGAGTTCCACATGCCCAAGTGACTAGTATGAAATGATTATGTAGGTATTAATACAGTAGAATTATTGAGAAGAGAAGAACTTATAATGGTAACAAATTATGTAGGCATTAGAGTGATGTCTCGACATGAATTTATGGAGCAATCCATGTACACATGTTAATGTCTCAAAGGTGCCAACCATTCTTATTTTGGAGGAATGATTCCTATTTTGGGGGAATTCAGACTAATCTTACAAACCATAGATTCCTCTCTTTTTCTGAAAACCTATGTGTAAAAGGTATACAAAATTACTCTATTCCTAATTTTGCCTTCGGAAATTCCTAATTTTTGCTTTGAAAGGTTGGCACCTGGGTAGAGAACTTACAGTTGATTACAAAATCTCAGTAATTGTGCTGCAGAGTCATGTCATAAACTTAATTTGAATCTGTCTTTTCTTTGTTTTTGTATTAGATATGCAGTCTAATGCGAGGTGGCATTGCTGAGAGAGGAGGTGTTAGGGTGGGGCATAGGATAATAGAGATCAACGGAAGCAGCGTCGTGGCAACGGCTCATGAGAAGATCGTTGAGATGCTTTCAACATCAGTAGGAGAGGTATGTACATAAATGTGGGAGGTCAGGTATCCCTCATAAAATAAATAGTTTTATATTGGAAGCATTTAAGCCTTCCTTTTCAGACGTTTAATGCTGGGGGTAGTAATGCTTTAACATTAGTATTTAGCGCTATAATAAATATTACTACTACTACTACTATTATTATTAGTTATTGCACCTTGAGTTCATTAGTACTTGTAGTAGTAGTAGCAGTAGCGGCAGAAGTAATATGTGTAGTAGTAGTACCGGTAGTAGTAGCAGTAGTAGAAGTAGAAGAAGTAGTATTAGTAGTCGCCGTTGTTGTAGTTGTAGTCATCGTAGTAGTCGCCATAATCATAGTAGTCGTAGTCGTAGTACTATTAGTAGCTGTAGGCGTAGTAGTACACACGTTCACATCATTCCCCTCTAAGCTTGAGTATTATTATTTTTGTTTGCCTCATAACAAACTTTTGTCCTTCATTAATATGCTCTTCCTTCTCATGATTGTTTTTAGATCCGTATGAAGACGATGCCCCTTTCCATGTACAAGCTCCTCACAGGGCAAGAGCAACCAGTCTACATATAAACAAAACTAATCAACTGATCTCTTAAACATTAACAAGTTCCTGTGATACTGGAGAATGAAAGTATGATGAGTATTCATCTTGGGTAGCACTGATCAGCCCTCTTACCAAGGCGCTGATCAAGAGAGGGAGACAGCAATGAAGAGAAAGGAGCAACAGAGAGAATGCAAGATTAATCAACAGCAAGTAAAGGATCATGATAACACATCCTAGAGGCTTTTCCATTCCAGAGGATTGGATGAAGGTCACTGGATGCAGCAATCATGTTACCATGGCAACAAGCATCTCAGAATGAAACGTGTACCTCAAGCTCACAAAGGAAAGATGGATGCGGAGTCAGGAGTAGATGTATAAAGAGAGTTCTTCAAGGATAGTATATTGGATGAGAATGAACAGCTGCCAAATGATTGAAGTGTTACAGAGGTTTTAACCATTTTGGGATGTGATTGTATAATGAGAAGGTCTATAATGAGGTAACACATAGTTTCGCATATTAAGAATGCTTTGGCTTCTTCCAAAAATAGGTCATTACAAAGACAGCAGGGCATTACAAGGAGATATTGATACAGCGATGTCAGATTCATCAAATATTAAAGCTCGGAAGAAAGAGATGGATGTCAAATTTTTAACTCAATTTTTTTTTTAAAGATAAAAGCTGGTCAGTACAACTTGGTGTTTGAAGATAACTTAACGGCATCTGATTATTATTGCACAAGCTGATGAATATGTGGAATCGCCGGCTGATAATGCGTGGACAGATGTTGTTGAAGGACTAAGATACACAGAGGTAATCCTTCATCGGCAAGTTTCGAGTGCTACCAAGATTTCCATATGACGCAAGCAAGGTACGATGGAAGATGTCATGCATCCCAGCATGGCTTTTTAGAGAGTGAACATTGAGAAAAGAGATTTGTGTTTCTATGAAGTAAAACCCAGCTTTCTGAAGCACACACATGGTCGTTATAATAATGACATTTCCTTCTGTGAGTCGACGAAGTGAACTCCGGTAATTTAGCAATTCAGGCGTCAGAATCAGGGCGTCGACAAACTCTGTACATTCAGTCACTGAATTGAGGCCTTTTTCTTGTAAATAATAGCTTGAAAGATTGTAGCCAGAAGACTGCGAGAATCAGAGAATGTCGATATATTAGAGAAAGAGAGATAACAAAAGTATAAAAGTAATATATTAAAGATGTTTGTGCACAGTGTATGTTTCAACAATGGAAAAAAGTATAGATATATGTCAAGACCAGTTATGACAGTGTATTAGGGATATGACCCTGTGGTATTATAAGTAGTCTTTTGTTCTAATATGTGCATACACCTACTACATGAAAATTCAATTCATTGGAGGGAAATAGTCATAGGATTTATGATTACGGTAATCACATTGAATGTAGACTATTTTCAACATCAATGTACTCATCTTGAAAAGAATAACAAAATAATTAGTTTTGTCAACTTAAACATGTGGGGAATTGAACCTACTGGTACCCCATTTGTAAATTTTATTAGCTGCATTGATACCTTAATATTTTACATTTGCTCTATCTATAATCCATGAAGTATAACATTCCTTATTTTGTGTTTTAGAGATCTCATGAATCATTTGTGATCCTTAAATTTGCGTGGTACCACTGCCAAAGAAAATACTTTGTGATGTAGTTGAGAGTATAATTTTCATTTCATATAGAATCTACGCTAGCTTACAAAAAACATAGATGACAATTGATGAATCTCTTTGTATTATTTTTAGTAGATGTAGTGACGATTCAGGTTTCAGCATTCAACATGTATGTACTGACTCGCCCTAAGTTTTTTATGAGTAGTCTTATATCTCTTTCTTTTGTTTCCTGCAAATTCCAGGTAGTCCCTATGTATGCCATAATAAGTAATGCTTGCTGTAGATCCTTAGACAGTTTGCACTGTTCGTTTTCTCTCTGATGAACATATTCAATACACAAAATGACTTTTTTTGTTTATTAACAATGGATAGGTATTTCATTTCGTAATTGAGGAAATCTACTATGTTTCTTTATACCAAAGCCAAATGCACGTTACAATTACATGTATATGGAGTATAGATTATTGAAGGTTATGGATTGTATATTATTTGTGATTTTTTTTTTCCCCCTGAAAAAGGCTTTCCATTCATTCATTATATATTTACTTGAATGTCAAGAATTGATGAATGTGGAGTATGAGAGTTTATTTTGTCAAACAGAACTGTTAAAAGATACAAGTTACCTATGTAGTGGAATGATATCACGAAAGTGCACAGACAGCTCATTTTAGTATAAAATGTTATGCAGCTCATCCTTTGTACATTACCAGTCATACAGACACAAGTTATTCAAGTTTGTGAAAGAAGAGAAAATACCTCATAGCAACTTTTCAATCATGTGGCACATTATTAGTTCTTAACTTGTGACTTCATTCCTCATATCATAACAGAAAGCGTTGGTTCAATGAACAGCAAATTGACTCTATATTTGTTTGTAATATTTTGGAGATGTTATCACCAAATTTTTCCAGTCACAGAGTTACAGTCACATTGCACACTCACTGAATTCTATTGACGTTTGTTATCATGTACCAATGGTTATTGGGTAGTCACACTGGAGGATATGACTATATAGTTTTAGGTAGTCACGGTATAGATCAAATATATTTGTTTATTTATAGTATTAATAACCTGTGCATATTCATGTTAAAGATTAATTAATTTATCATTTTTAATTATGTTTGGGGTTTGACTGGTTATGGGCAAATAATTTTCTGATACATGTTAAAATATAAAAATTACATTTATTTCAGATGAAACAATTTTCTTTCGGGAAAAGATTTCATTGTAATGTTTCTTTGTACATGTTTTACTTCTCCCTTATTAAACTCATACTACATCACAAACAAAGACATGCATGTAGGTTTCACTCTAACTATCATCATATGTATTATTCTTCCTCTATTTTCATTATAATTTCTGTAAAGTATTCTAACATTTGTTTCTTTAGAAGGAAAAAAAAAGGGTAGTTAGGGTACCCAATCCTAGTAGACGTATTGTAATCTTCCTGTATATTTGAATAATTTTTAACTGAATACCAACTTTTTTTTTGTTTATTGATTCTGTGAGAGAGAAAAAATGGTGCTTTTGTAAAGATGACAGATTATGTATTTAAACAATGAGTAGTTAAGTAGCAGCAAGTAATATTGGCTGTCTTTTAATGTATTCAATTATTATGTTATATATATACCGGTATATGTATGAAGGCCAGCCACAATTTAGGACCCAACTGTGAACTGAGTTTGGAAGAAATTGCAATAGTATGAGATACAAATGTAAATTCTTCTTCATAAGTCTGAATGATCATATGCATCATCATATTAATATTGCTGGATGAGAGGAAAGACCTGATCGGTTCTGAATGATAGTCGAGTCGATAGCCGCATGACTGCCTACAGATTTATAGCCCTTTTTTCCCCAATCTTAAAGGCTTATGAAATACTCTGCATTTTCAGTGTTCAGTGTCTCAAAGGGCATCTGGGATCTGTATTCAGAAGAAGTTATATTCTTTAGACTTTCCATCCTTTTGCAATTTCTTTAAGAATCTAGTTTCGTTTTGGTCATAAGGTGTGTTGGTCTCTCTAATAATTCCAATCTCCAATTATTTATGTTTAGTGTTCATCTACGGACACACTGTACAAAAAAACAATTATATCATATAGGGCTTCTCACCATGGTCATTGTTTATCATCTCACCAACAGTAGAGTTTAGCCATCAGAATTATGCCTTGTATATTATTTTGGAAAGTATAATGTCCTCATTATAAATATACCATGCTCTATTTTAGTTATGTCGTGCATATTTTTGCCAATGATAATAATAATAATAATGGGTTCTTGTATAGCGCTTATGTCAGTCAGATTTGACCCTTCTGGCGCTCCTGATTATTATTATTATTATGACTATCACCATGTTGTACATGTATGAAGAAAGAATCTGTCATTTTTATACACCTCCAATTTTTATTATCATTTTTATTATGATCTTTAAAAAAAAACTTTTCTAAGTTTCTCTGTAGCTATAATAAAATTGTGTATGTTTGTTGTTTCATTTTGATCAGGAATGATGAGGATGAACTATTTTATACTTGGTCGTTTGAATACATGTCAATGTCTCGTATAACATAGTGTATCGCCGTATACATCTGTAATGACTAGTCCTGAGAATTAGGCACTGATAATTTTCCAAATTGCTGCAAATGGACAGAAGTACAGATATAGCCGATGATTGTGATTCTAGAAAACTTCCAATTATTCATATTTTTCTTTTGGTTATTTTCAGTTTTGCTCTCTCTGTAGGTCAAATTACTATAATTACTTTGCGGAGTAATAGATCCTCTGCAGTTTTGATTTCCTTATGTTTAATACTATAATCTGAATGCACAGAATATTCAAGCAGTGCAGTTATAATTAGAGCTGCTATGAGTTAATATTTAATGAAAAATTATTATTTTTAACCTGATCCAATTTTGGCAGATTATTTGAGCTAGAGCTGTAGTCCAGGCAAAAACTATTGAGTTTACATTGTATATTTTGCATTTCAACACCATATACGTTCTAGATCAAAAAAGACAGCAATTATAGAAGATGATTTTTAAAAAGATATTAAGAAGATGTTTTGATATGTACACAGTTTACTACTTATATCCAATACCTGTTAAAGTAAGCCAGTCTGAATACATTTTGATGAAAACTAATGCTATGAATGATGATGATAATGTTGATGATGATAGTGGTGGTGATGATGGTGATGATGATTATGATAGGGATGTTATTGGTGATTTAAATGATCCACACTTGTTTTGTCAAACAAACTCTGCTTTCTTATAAATTGATTCATATGAGCAAGAGATGACAGTGGGAGATTCAACAGAAAAATAATTTTTATATTTCTTATTTTAAGTCCAGGCATGTGATTGTATAAACACTAAATAGTCAAATACATTTTTCTTGTGGGGATAAATTTACTGTTTGTCATGGAAGGTGGTTTTCAGTAGATTGATGTATCTTGTTGGAAAAACTATATAAATATTGTCTTGATAAAATTTGTATTTCCTGTCAAGGAATATATACATGTATGCATTGGATTCTCAAGTCTCCACTTAAAATTCCATAGCCTTATACGTTGCTTAGATTTGAAAATACAAATGATTTCCTCTCGATTCAACTATTTTCTTTATTAATGTAAGAATTTATCCCATATGAAGTAAGCTCATTTATTGATTATGTACGAGGTATGATGAGATACAATGTGATGAGACTAGGATACTAAACGCCACTGTGTTGATATATATCATGTACACTACTCTGATTGCATATTACAATTATGAAGATATCATGCATATTAAAAACAAAAAAATATTGATGAACATTTACAAACCTGTCTGCAAGTTTCTTTTGTGTGATGTAAATAATTTATTATTGTAATTTTGTATTATTGGTTGCCTCTTGCTGTAAATTGGTGATTAAACACAATCCAAACTCAAATGCAACTTTTAAAGGGGAAGTCCATCCTGATGTTGAGTTGGTTTTAATAGAAGCAGAAAAGTGAGAGGAACAGGTCAGTGAAAGATTGGGCAAATTCTGATTAAAAATAAGATAGTTATGATTTGTTGAAGTTTTGATTAATCAAACACAAATTGGCAACTCAGTGACATATCTTGCAAGGTCCCCTCTCATTTGCACTGTACTAAAAAAAATTGATCAGAAATTCTCATTTTCCCTAAAGAAAACTTTCAATCATAAATGCACCCTGAATATAATTATTGAAGTCCACCCTGATATTTCTATACCATCCATGTATGGAAGAAATCTATTCCGTCATCAATAATGAAGAAAATGAAAGTTGATGTAAAGAGCAAATGGGAGGGGAAATTTGCCTGCTGCTACAAAAACCGACTTATTTCCGGGTGGACTTCCCCTTTATTTATGTGAAATTGGTGGAGATTTCAATTTGGGACTGTGTTTCACTAAAACGTATATCCATTAGAGACCAGGACAGCGTCTCATGAAATCATCACAAGTACAATTTTGCAGACAACCCATTGAAACGTTTGGTGGCCCCTTGGTATAAGCCCTGCTTTCTCCGGGGTCACCAAACCATCATTGTGTTCTGCTAAATTTTTGATGTAATTTATTTTGATTGTATATATATTTTGATGGTTTGATAAATAAATGAATTAAATGATTTGAATTGAAACATGTGTATCAAATCTAGCATGCGTTTCAAAAGGACATTGGTGAAATAGTACTTATACAACGGTTTTGTGAAACGATGCCCCATTTGTCAAATGTTTCAAATATCCCCCTTCTTGGTGTCAATAAAAGAATGAATCTATCATATACAAGGAATATACCAGTAAAAAATACAGTCCATTCATATATATACAGGGTATAGATATGACTAAAAGACAAAGAAAATGAATTTCTGTACAAAACAAATGGAGAGCTGCTTACAAGGGAAATCATCAGTATGATAAATCACAACTGAAAAAATTAATAAATTTGCCTTTTGCTGTAGATTGTTCTCTGATTTTCATCGATCTGTTGCTCTTATTTTTTTCTTTTATTAAAACATACATTATGTGAGGGCAGGACTTCATGGCAACTAGTTTATAACACAATAGGCCATTTTCATAATGTAATCAAATTGAATGCACAAATCTTCGTTAAGTGCCCAGTTACAAATCACCTGTTACAAAATTATTGTATTTCAACTGTCGGAATGTGATTTGCACACATGACATCACATGTTGTTAGGTAGGAGAAGCCATAATGTTTGTCCTACCTAGCAACACTTAATGTTTGCAAGTCACATGTTGATATTGAAGTACTATTAATCATAACACGTGAATGAAATATTTGTTTAAAAAACAAAGATTCACGCATTAAATTTGATTACATTACAAAAATGGTCTATTGCCTTCTCTCATATTACCAATCAACATCCATCTCTCACTCATAGTATTCAAAATTACAGATCAGACTGCTGATACTTCAAAACTTACTACATCGCTATCTTTTTATTATTTGAAGTACGAATGAGCCTGGTATATTAAATATTCTTCTCTACATATTACAATTTTTAAATATTAATAGTGAAAACAAAAAGCCCCTGAATAGACAATCAATGCTTACTCTTACAAAAAAAGTACAGATAATAATACTTGTAATATAATTTGTCAGCTCCATCAGATTATACAAGACGGAACAATTCAGTTGCCTGGGAAACTGTGCATCATAGAATGTAACTTTGATGCATATATGAGTAATGATTAAATAACGTTCACAAACATTTATCCAGGATTTTTCTCGATGGGTTTTAAAGTTTTGTAAAAATGACTTTTATCTACCCATGCATAGATTGTATCTCTCAAATGGCTTATAACAAAAGGTTGCCACTTGCTACTGAATTTTTTTTCTTCTTCTGAAACAAGGCCCAGATGTTATTTTAATTTTTATTTCAAAGCAAGTTGCTATTTACATCAAATAAAATGAATCGTGAATTTGGGGGGGGGGGGGGGGGAGATGGGGGATGACTATGAAATTAACAAGTTGGATTCAGATTAAATCTGAGAGAGACAATTCTTGGGAAGGGGGAAAACTCAACATCTAATGTCAATCATCGTTTTTCTTGACATTTTTTAATTATGTATTTCCATTTGTGAAGATGTTGTAATATTTAACCAACTATGGACGAAATATTATTTATAGCAGAACTGTTCAGGTACACTTTGGAGACTTACGGTATTAATTACAAATACAAATTTTAGAATAGCCAAGTTAATAGACCACAAAACACATATGTTTATCATAGAAAAGATGCACCTTACGATAATTAAAAAAGAAAAACAGTGCAAATTAGAAAAAAGGTATCAAATCTACTCATTATAAAACAATCAGAGAAATTCTGATTTAATGATTGATGAAATATGATGGTTAAATTTATACAAGAGATAGATATACATGATATGAAGTATAACTACATCACAGAGAACACAAAGGATAAAATATTTAAAGTGCGGATGGACTCCATTTATAATACATGTATTTATAATACTTTTGTGTATTTTTGGGTGTATTACAGATCTGTCTAGTACATACACTGTACTGTACTTCATGTTTTGGCAAAAGTGAGGCAAAGTGTCATAACAATACTTATCCAGGTGATTGGACCAAGAAAACCACCTGATGGATTGACCCTATGATTATTCAGGTACTCAGGTATTCTGATACAATTTATTGCACTTAAATAAGGAAATTAGTCGCTGCATAACTGAATTTATTTTTGGTACAAATCAAGACATTTTTAGTTTTTGCTTTTTACTTCAAAGATTCTGTTGATAATTCAAGAAATCATATTGTAGGGAATTCAATCTAGGAATTGGCTAGAAGCTATTATCGGGTCTCCCAACTTGTCCACAATTGGTCTCTTTGGCTTTGGGAAAAAGAAAATCAAATATAGGGCATCCTTGCTTAGGAAAATCTACTCTACATGAGGCTGAAACTATATTCAAAATGACAATCTACGACCTATATTTGTAATGCAGGTCTATATTAAAGCAAATGCACTTTAAAATGAGAAAAACTCTCAATGAAAAACCAAATGATGACATGATAAAAGTGATGTGAAAAGCTTAAAGCTAAATATTTTGAAACTTAATGAAGAAAAAAATGATTTTGATAATCAATAGCTGCATGAAAATGTACATCAAAATCGCCTACAGCTGCATTGTTACAGTAAATTCAATATCTTCATTACTCTTAAATAGCACATTACATTACATAAATATTACAAGCTGATAAAAAAAATTAGCAGGAAGACTTGCTAACAGTCTTCATTATGTACTTAGTGTGGTAGACTTTTTCGGGGGAGAAATTAGTGATCTTTAATATCGATGGTGCAACACACTCTGCTTTTAATGATAAATCTTAGGTCAATGCTTAAAATACTACAATAGTTTAGTGTCTATTGCGACAGACATTGTAAGATATTTAATTTATTACAGACTTGATAATTGTGGCCATTAATTAGATATTCTACATAGTAAGACGACGAAAGAAACCCGCTAAGGAGAACTCAAGCCATCTCTTCAATCCTGGAGTCGATATCATCAACCTGGCTGACTAGCTTCCTCCATTGATCCACCGTCAAACTGATTCCTGGAGAAAAACAAACACAAATGAAACAGACATCTGATTAAGAAGAGAAGGCCATTAAAAACAAACCAAAAAAGGACCTCCTGTCAACTACTGCTTTATGACCTGGAAGCATTAATGCAATCTTAACAGAAGCCACCACAACAATAAATATCCATGCTTGAATAAGAAAAATAAATCATATTGTTTAGCAAAAGGTTTGCCTACCCAAAATAATAAATATACAAATCACTAACATTACCTCCAACAATAGGCCATTTTCGTAATGTAACCAAATTTAATACATACGTCTTTGTGAAGTGCCTCGATACAAATTATTTCATTTACCCGTTAGAAAAATAATATAGTCTCAATAGCCAGAATGCGAATCGCATAGGGTATTTGTTGCTAGGTAGGACAAACATTATGGCTTGCCCTACCTAACAACACATAATATATGTCGTTTGCATTCTGACTATTGACATGTAATATTTTTTAAAGGTGAATGATTGTATTGAGGGACTTCACAAAGACGTATGCATTAAGTTTGGTTACTTTATGAAAATGGGCTGTTCTTATAGAATTTTACTACTGAAGGACTTGTAATTACTTTTATTATTGATTTAAAATTTAAAATTATGACAAAATACATCCTATGTTTAATATCTAAAAGCTTGATAAAGCAAATACCACAAAAAGCTGAGCAATAGACATTCCCTTAACTAAAAATATGTTGAAATATTCAAATACGGTTACACATGATTCTTTGCATTCATAATGCACTTGTTGCACAACAAATAATTTGCCCTTTCCACAGAGGCATTTCATCTTCAAAATCATAATAACCTTTCTTTCCGGGGAGAAGATCGCCAACCTCTTTTTCATAGTACTCTCTGATATCAATCAAGACTTTTCCTCGGAACTCTCTCACATTAACAAATCGCTGTCTGGATAGCTGAAAAGACAAAGTTTGTTCATTAATAAATATCAGGGTTTTTTTCTTTAACATAAAGATAATATAATTAAATGTAACTATGGCAAATGGAGCAGAAGAGTGAGTGTAAATAATTGTCATGATTTTTTAGGAACACTTGAACGTCTAGAAGCATTCATTTTTTTTTGGTCATTATCCAAACTCAAGATCTGTATCTGTATGATTTGGTCAGCAAAATGTCCTTTCCAGACACATCCACGCTAACGTATTTGTAGACAGAGCACGCTGTGTGTGGGTTGACTCTAATCAAATTATTGGGTATGTTTAAGTAAATTGTTCTTAAAAGTGGTTAATGATGGGCTGTTTACTATGGAAGTTGGGAGGTTATTCCAGTCCTTGATGGTTGACACAAAAAAGGAGTCCTGGTAGGCTCTAGCTTTGTGGCGAAGTTGTAGGAACTTCTGGTTGTTCCCCCTGGTTTCCCTGGGATTCAGTTGTACATAGTCATACAAAGGAATGTCGACCAGTCCATTCTTCATTTTGTATAACATGCTGAGTCTCTGGTTTCTCCTTCTAGTTTGAAGCGATTCCCATCCTAGGTCTTTTAGCGCCTTGGTGACTGTGCCTTCTTCTCTACTGTAGTTGCTAGTACAGAATCTGGCTGCTTGTCGTTGGACACGTTCTAGGGACTTGATATTCTGCTTGGTAGAGGGATCCCAAGCTGACGATGCATACTCGAGAAGCGGTCTTACTAACGCCAGGTACGCAGTTGATTTCACCTTCTTGTTGCAACTCCACAAGTTCCTGCGGACTACATTCTGTATTCTCTGGGCTTTCTTGGTAGCTGCCTGAGTATGAGTATTCCAGCTCAATGTATTCGATATGTGAACACCCAGGTATGGATGAGAAGACACACTCTCGAGACTATGGTTACAAAAGTTATACTTGTGATGAGGGGGGTTTCTCTTACCAATGGTCATGGTACAGCACTTGGTTGGGTTGAAGTTCATCAGCCATGTGTCTTGCCAGCTTTCCAGTTGTCTAAGATCTTTCTGCAGTACGCTGGTATCTTGATCAGCTGATACGGCTGTATACAGCAAACAGTCGTCTGCGAACAATCTGGTTGTGCAGGCCATGTTGTTTGGTAGATCGTTAATGTACAACAAGAACCATAGTGGGCCGGTCACTGTACCCTGCGGTACGCCAGATGTAACAGATGCAGGTAGAGATGAATGACCATTGATGACAACTCGTTGTGTGCGGCCCATCAGAAAACTTCTCACCCAAGAAGTGATTTCTCCCTCAAGACCATAATATTGTAGTTTAGAGATTAGGCGACGATGAGGGACCTTGTCGAAAGCTTTTGTAAAATCAAGCACTGCCATGTCGACTAACTTATTTCTATCCAGTTCTTGGCTAATATCATTGATTGTGAGAATTAGCTGCGTTTCAGTAGATCTTTTAGCACGAAACCCATGTTGGAAGTCTGATAGGATATGTTGATTTTCTAGGTGTTTCATTACGTGGCTATGTATGATGTGTTCCATGACTTTACTCAGTACTGATGTCAACGAGACAGGTCTGTAGTTTGCAGCACTCTTCCTGCTCCCCTTCTTGAAGATGGCGGCTACGTTGGCGTCTCTCCATTCTTGCGGTACTATTCCAGTGTTGATGGAAGATTGGAACAGGTCTTGCAAAGGTGCAGATAGCTGCTCAGCTCCGATCTTCAGGAACCACGGTGGAATGCCGTCCGGCCCTTGTGCTTTGTTGGTCTTCAGCGTGCTGAGCAGCTTTTCGACCCCTTTCCTAGTAATGTTGAGATGTCCAATCTTCTGGTAAGGGCTGTTGCCAAGGGACTGTGCTAATCCAGGAGGCTCGTTGGTGAAAACGCTCCGGAATTGTTCATTCAAAACGTTTGCCTTGTCTGTGTCGTTGCTTACAGTCTTCTCCCCTTGCTGGAGATCTGCTACTCCCGAGTTTTCTTGTTTCAGTTGCTTAATGTAAGACCAAAACCTTTTTGGCTCTTCTAGAATTGCCGATTCAAGAGTGTCCCTAACATATAAAGAACGGGCTTCTTTAATGAGCTTGTGGGTGCTTTTCCTAAAGGCCTTGAACGATTCCCAGTCATCCGGCTTTCCTGTCCTAACTGCCTTGTTGTATAATCTCTGTTTCTTCTTAATCGTACGACGTAGTGATCTATTGAACCATGGTAAGTTAAATCGGCTAGTGGAAAACTTGTGCGGGACATGTTTTTCCATTGTGTGTAGTATTGCACTTCTAATTTGTTCCCATTTGTCCTCTACACTTTTGTCTTGGTTCGTTTGGAAATAAGTATCTGAAAAGTCTTGAAGTGTCTCCTTGATACCCTGAGTATCTGCTTTACCCCTGAGGTAGATTTTCCTTCTTATCGGACGCTTCCTAGTAGGAGCTACTCTTAAGTCCACTATCACTGAGCTGTGGTCAGCAATGCCATCTGTAACAGATATCTTGTCCACTATTTCAGGGTTATTGGAGAAGATCAAGTCCAAGATGTTTTCTGTGTTTCCCTGAATTCTTGTAGGTTGGGTGACATGCTGATTAAGTCCCAATTCTTCCACTAGAGTGACAAGCTTATCAGCTGCTCTGGTGCTGTATCCACTCCTGCTGGAGACAACATGATCATCCCACGAGATGTTGGGTAGATTAAAATCCCCTGTGAGGATGACATTGTGAGAATTGATCTTATTTCCTAACCTTGTAAAGGATTGCGCCAGGTGGTCGATTGCTTCACCATTGCTGTCATTCGGTGGACGGTAGAAGACTCCCACAAGCAAGGGTCTACACCCCTTTATTTTTGTTTCAGTCCATAATATTTCACAATCAGAGTTAAGTTCACTGCAGTGCGTTGTAATCAAATCCCCCTTCACTGCTTGGAAGACTCCACCTCCAGTCTTTAGCTGTTCACGATCTTTCCTGAAGATAGAGTGGTTGTCTGGGAAGATTTCACTGCTATTAACCTCTGGGTCAAGCCACGATTCTGTTCCACAGATGAAGTCTGGTTTAACGGAGTCGATGAGCACTTCGATATCCCCAGCTTTGGATCTTACACTCTGGCAATTAGTCAATATCAATTTAACTTTGTCTCTCTTCTTGGCATTACACTTTCTATTCTCTTTATTATGTCTCTTATTTCTTTTACTGTTGGGCTTGGGCTGCGATGCACCCACATCCTTCTGGCTTGCCGGCTGGGAGCAGACATTAGATTACCTTGAAATTCTCTGTTCTTTTTCAACAATTAGGCCTCATTCAGATATGATGCAGCAAAACCACAGCGGTTTTTCTATGATGCATTTCTGTGTTTTTTATAAACACAGAGCTCTGTGAATATGGCAAGTCATTTGTTGCGTGCGGTTGCCATTCATAAACACGTAAAACAAACATGGCAGCTTTTTTTCAAAGGCGGTTTACTGCGGAATTTCTGAACAAGCCTTTACAATTAAATTTCAAATGAATTTCAATCAGGTGGATTTCCAATTAGGATCCATCTTTCACAAAGACCTACCATCATATTATTTTTTAAAAGTGTACCATTTTTAGACCATTAAGGAAAGAGGTAACTTACAGAAAACATTTCTGAGGTGTCGTTTTCATCGGATGATTTCTTTACAGGTTTCTTTGCAGCAGGCTTTGCAGCTGGCTTCTTTGATCGCTTTGGAGTAGGCTGTTAATGAGAGAGAGTGGGAAAAGAAAAATACAATAAAAACCTAATTATAATTTACAAAGTAGTCAAGTCTTCATAGTCTAATTCTAGATTGCAATTAAATGTGGAAAATAATACAAGTGCATAACAAATAGTAAAATTCATAAACAAATCTTTTGATGTATTGCATTTGCAATAAGTTCCCCTCAAAACTTTCACAGATTCAAAATTTATTTGTATTTTACATTTTAAGTGTGAACAGATGGTCAATTTTTCATCATCTAAAGAAACCATACATGATAGAGGCATAGATCTAGACCACAGAATCCTGTGAGAAAGTGTAGGCCTATATTATAAGTCTTCGTTTTTTTAAAGGCAAAATGCTCCAAAAAAGATAAGAAAATTGACACGAAACAGGTAAGAAACAACAACTTTTGAATCATGACCATTATTGGAACAATTGATGAAGATTTAGTTGATTTTTGGTATGTTTTTATCAAAAATTAAAGCCAGAGTTATGTGTCAAAGTATGGATACGATTCCGAATTAGTGCCAAGTAATGCGTTAAGGCTCACTTTCTCTCTCACTCTCTCATTCACTCTAAATTTGTAATTCTCCAACAGCCTACTAGTACAGTCAGACCGCAGCGTGCGCGATAATGAGGCTGTGCGGCAATTTTTATTCAGATTCCCGTTCGGTGAAAAGCTCGCTTACAACGCTCTCGTAAAACACGAGAGCAGCCACGGGATTTTGGTAGCATCATTTTCTCGCCCTCGTATGGCTTACAGTGCAATTCATCATGGCGGAATCGTGGGGTAAGTCAATCTCTGAAATTTTCGCCGTTCTTTGACACCAAATTTGCCAAAATTAGTTACATTTTGGGCTTACTTTTATCGCAAACAAAAAGAGCGTTTTTTAGTCCTCGGAAATTAACTACTCATTACATAGTGTCGTATTTTGCTTGTTCCTGACTGGTATTGATAATATTATTTCGAATTTTTGCATCCTACGTCGTCTTTGATAACCAGTCCATCATTTGATGTTGAAAACACGTAGATGCAAGTAATGTTTGAATAAGAAATATGCCCAGATTATTGGACTATATTTTGGAAATCTACCGGAAGTAGACGGAAAATGATTAGAAATCGCGGGGAATTGCTATGGCTACGGCCTTTTAGTCAGGAATGGCGGGGTTGCTTGTGTGTCGCTGCACGCTGTGCCATTGTGTGGCGCATACAGCAGGAATTTATGTAGTCCCATGTGTATATATTTTTGTCAGCTTTTTAGTTTTTGTTGTCGCAAATCGACAGCAATGTAAATAAATCGACTGCTTATTAGTCATTGCTATTCATTGCTATTCATTATAAATCTAGATCAAATGATATGTTTTAAATGTATATTTACAAGGGTTTAAACATGTTTAGACAAGTAATGAAGGGGTTTGATAACTGATCGAATTGTACTGGAATCCTGAGCTGAGCGAGTGAGCTGAGTTGAGCTGAGCTGGATATTAGTTATTAGAATGACAAATTACTTACAGGATAATTAATTATATTAATTTGGAATTCTCAAACTTTGGTTCTGCCTTCTGCTTAACTCAAACCTTACAGCCAGCCACAGAAATGAGCAGCATTTCCTTGTGCGAGTTGTAGACCTATTAATATTATGATTATGAACAGAGCAGAATTAAAACAAAAAGCCAAAGGTAAATACTTACATTTTAGAACTTGTGCACATCTTGAAAAATGAAGGGAAAACTTCATGAATCTGACACCTGTAATTTGTTTTCATTTAAAAAAAAAAATTTGAAAGCAAGCCAGTTTTGTCTACCATAAATGGCTAGCTACTTTGATAAGATCTTTTCAAATCCCCATACATTGAACTAAGACATTTTATTCTTCTTATCATTTGTTGTTGTTTTTCTGACAGACGCACTCAACCATCGAAGCTTGCGGGACATTGACAGACATCACACATCAGTCTCCATTGCATTCCTGGATCAACATTTACTGGACTCCATGCCTTTGTTCGTTTTAATGGTTATTTATTTGAAGACTCAACCGCAGTTTTGCTTCACGTTGGAACAAACAATCTTGAACGGGGAGTTTGGGAGAAGGACGAGAAGGATTTTGTTCACCTTATTCCTTTCAATAAAACAAAAATCTCTGATACTTCCAAAGTTCCAAGGTGGGATTCTGGAGCTTCACACGAACAATGCATTTATTATATTAATAGAAAACTGACTGAACTGTCACCTTTATACAATTTAACAATATTTAACTCTAATAATACTTTTATTCTCAGCGACACATTTTATGCGTGTGATGGTCTCAACATAAATGTCAAAGTCAGTTTATAAATAAAATATAAATATTAGAAAATGCAAATTTTATTCCTAGTCCTATCGCATTTATTATTTGTAGTAGTGTTAAATAATACATTTTTTTGTCCATTTACTAGGCTATTCAGAAGAAACCAGACCTGGTTTTCTCTTGGGTTAGTTGGCATGAATTTTGATTTAGAAATGTGAATTACACAGACCTGTTAAATAATAGCCCCCCCCCCCCCCACAAAAGAAAAACAATCTTTTTAAAAGATATATTTTGCAGATTTGTATTTCATCCCAAAATAGTACCTACACAGGGTAAACATAATATAAATAGTCAAGCATTGACATATTTTGATATGTTGGTGATGATTGTGATGGTGGTGATGGCGACGGTGGAGATGATGGCTATGGTGATGATGATAATGATGACGGTGATTATGATGATGGCAGTGGTGATGATGTCGGTGGTGATGGCGATCATGATGACGGTGATTATGATGGCTATGGTGATGATGATAATGATGACAGTGATCATGATGACGATGATTATCTTGATGGCAATGCTGATGGTGGTGATGATTGATGAGGGTGATTATGATGGCAATGCTGGTCGTTAACGTGATGGTGATGATGGCAATTAATGGCGATGTCGGTGGTGCATGGTGATGATCATGATGACGGTGATTATGATGATGATTGTGATGCAATGCTAATGGTGGTGATGATGATGTAGGTGGTGACGGCGATGATGGCTATGGTGATGATGATAATGATAATGATTGTGATGGCGATGACGATTGTGATTGTGATAATGATGTTGAAGATGAAAATTAGAATTCTACAAGTTTTATTTGAGCCCTTCAGCCCACCGCACACTTATATTTCTATCCAAGGGTCATATTACACACAAACAAACCCCGAAAATAAATTTCCAGATATATATATATTCCGCGGGTCACTTTAAAACAAAATCAAACAGAAAAGAGAATAAGGGAAAGAATTTTGTAATATTTTATTTCCAGGAATACACATGAACTGGAGTAACGCAATTGACAAAAGAATTATGAAATAAAATATTACCATCATCGAATGTCTGGGAATTACCAAAAGAAATTCCTGTTTAAGGCTCTTCTAATTAGGCCATGGTTTACAAATATAAAAACACATTTCAGAACTTTTACAACCATGAAATTAATAGCAGGGATGGGAACAATCATATTTTCAATTTTCAATAACATTGCCCCCCCCCCCCTGAAAGTTTGTATTTACACAAACATACATTTCCTAACGAATAATGTGTCTTCTTTGTTAAAATGATATCAAAGCCTGGCCAAAAATAGCCTTTATAGACACTTAAATCCCCTCTTCTGTCCCTAGAGCTGGAATTCTATATTGTACTTGTGTGCGTATCCGTATCCAACTTTGTACTTTCCGTTCACTTCTATAATTATGTAGCGCATGAGTATCGTACACAATAATAAGTATGTGGGGCAATACAAAAGCCTCTACGACCGGGGGTTACGCACACGAGAGTAATTCATGAATATCCCTAATCTCCGTCTATTTTCTGTGCGTGTTCACGTATAGCGCGCAGACTGGTTGGACCGCGAATAGACGCAGAGCTATATATAACGTGGTATCCCCCGGTTGATCTCGATGCGAAACGCTCGTCGATCGGCCATGTCTTATTTTCCGCCGGAGTCTATTATGCATCAGCTACTACTTTGCTTGTTCCTGACTGGTATTGAGACAGACATTCACAGGAAGTATATTATTATGTTAGGAAAATATCTACATTATGTGGTAAGCCAAAATTCAGCGAGATGCACCCCCGATAAAAATGGTTATTTAACGTGTATATCCGACTCTTCAAATATTTTTTTTTGCAAGTTTTTTTTGGTGTTTTTTTCACATTTTGAAACTTCACTCACTATTTATTGAATAGTACATTATAATGTTTATAGTTCTGGCTCAATATTCATGACGAATTTAATGTCATTAAATGAATCCTGAGCATAGCAGAAAGATGAGAACTGTGCCATGTTTTTGCTTATTACGTATTCATGAGGAGCAAATTCGTGCATACGATATGAATAAATGGAAGCGAATTCGCGCACGCTGCGGTCTGACTGTAGTAGTACTACTACTGGTAGTATTGCTCTCTACCACAAACAGAGTGGGACACATTACATGCATGGCTCGACTCTACGAGTACCGCGTCTCCTTCTCCAACCAATGCACATGATGCAAAAGCAACGTTTGCTTACCTCGTCTTCTGAGCTGCTTGAAGCTTGAAGGGTCTCTTTACTCTTGTGTTTAGGCATGTTGTTAGTGACTATTAGTATATGACCTCTTGAAATTTGAAGATTGGGTGTGAATTTGATGAACGACCTGCAGAGAAATGAGTCTCGATGTTTCAATTATAGGCGCGGGCCACGTGTACTGAACATACATGTAAAATGTAAAGGGTACGCGCACGTCTTGTGAACTTTGTATCGGAGCGTTTATTCTCGCAGCTTCTTTTCAGACCTTCTAAATAATTAAGTTTGATTTAATCTATCAAATCGATCATTAAAAAGTACTTCTGTTTAATTTATATCTACTTCATATATTCAATTGAATAAATTTATTATCTGAAGTATCTTTTGGGCATTGATTTTAACATAATAGGTAAAAACATGCAATATATAAACAAGTATTTGTTTGAGTAAAGAATATGTAGAACGAGGTTACGCTCTTTAGGGGAATCCCCGTGTTCATTGTACTCGCGCTTCACATGACGCCGCTTTTATAGGCCCTGTCATGAACAAAACTGGATTAATTATTAAAAAAATTAGAGAGTAAATTCATATAAATATTTTGGAATCGTCAACTACATCATATATTGTTTTTTTCGTATTGAATTGAAGTCTAATAAATTTAGGCCTATCATTTTGACCTGGAAGTACATGCCTTGAAAAACCAGAGACAAGCCATCAATCATGGATACAAAATGTCCAAGGGCCGATCCGGCATTTACTAAACGGGTTGAGGCAGTGGCGGATCCAGGGGGAGGGGGGCCGGCCCCTTTCCCTGGCAAAATACGATAAAAACACGTTAATTTTACTCTTTTTTTTAATACAAAACGAAGACGGGCCCCCTCCCCTGGCAAAAAGAAAAAGAAAAAAGGGGGATGCTGTTGAGTAAAAAAAAAAAAATAGTGGGCACTATCCATCCTTCCCCCTCGTTGAGCACACACACCTAAAAAAAAAAGAAAAAAAAGTTAACTACACACATACACACAACAACAACACAAAAGTTAACTAGCCCCCCCCCCCCCCCCCCCGCCCCAGGTAGCGATTTTCAAACTTTGCGGGGGAATATAGTCCGCGACCCCTGGAGACCCCATGGACAAACTCTTTCTAGGCCAATTATGTTTTTTGCAAGTTTGCACAACTCTTTTATAGGGACTTGTCTGCCTCTTTGACTTTACATTCTATCCATGTAATCCTCTACCTTCCCTTTTTTCCTTTTACCCTGCACTTTTCTCAAGTGACTTCCGAATTTCCAACTTTTGTAAGTGTACCATAATATGCTGCACTTAATATATAACAGGGAAAAATTAAGAAAACTGCTTCTCCAGCGAAAAAAAGTGCCCCTCCTGCGTGTGAAATGAAAAATCATCCGTTGCGACAAAAGGGAAAATGTACGTCACCTCCCGTAGCAGAGTCTCTCCAGGGGGGTGTTTCACTAAAGCCCTAAAATCGATTTAAAATCGATTTGATCGATTTTAAGGGCCTAAAATTGATTTTTAAAATCGAAATCGATTTTAGTTGATGAAACACCCCCCTGGTGTAAAGTTTTATTCCTTTAATATCTGATGTTCCCAATGGTTACATAATTATATTCTTTACGAAAACATAACATTTTTCTTAATAATTATATAGGAAGGCCCATATATCAAATTCTGTTTATGCGTGCCTGTGACATATCTGGGGATCACAGGGGGGGGGGGGGGGGACTCGTACCCCGGTCGGCACTTGAAGGGGCGAGCCCAAAATAGAGAAGAAGAAAGAAAACAAAAATGGAGAAAAATTGTTGGTATATAATTATGGATTGCGCTCTTTATATAAAGCAAAGTACATAAGAATTAGATATTGTAAACACAACATTTTCTAAAGCTTTGTCGCCTTGCTGGCTCGTGTATTCATGTTCTCTAGATCTCGTAATTTTGAGACCTGAACATATAAGGTATGATGGATAAATATTATTTATAAAGGGTTTAAAAGTTGGAAGAAAAAAATATACTGAATTGCTCCCTATAAAATTAATCACGATCTTATTTTGACTTTGCTCTTCTCAAAGACATTTCCAATTGCTTTGTTTTCTAGAATATATTTCTTCAGGAGTTTTCGTTAATTGTACACCCCTAATGTAGGGAAAAGAAGATAGAGTAAGGTTTTTCAAATATGAGAAAGAGACTTTAACGTTACCTGTATAGGTTGATGTGTTTTCTTTCAAATCATAATCATGCATTAGACACTGCATTTTTAAGGGGTAAAATGAAGGGGGAATCTTCCGCCTGGTCTCAATACTGAATTCCTCCTTATAAAAATTAATCAGGATCTTATTTTGATTTTGCGCTTCCCAAAGAAGTTTTCAATTGGCCTTGTTTTCTCATTTCTCCAGGGCTTTTCGTCAATGTTGCACCCCGAAGAAAAATATAAAGTAAGGTTTTCCAAATATGAGAAAGAAACCTTTAACTTCACCTGTAGATTGATGTACTCTCTTTCAAAGCATAATTATGCGTTAAAAACTGCATTTTTAAGGAGTAATATGAAAAAGGAAAAAATCCGCTTGGTCGCTTTATCTCTCACTTGTATTAGATGTTTATCACTTTTTGGACTACCATTTCCGGGATACGAGCATTGAAATCACACCAAACGAGTGATTTTAACCAGAAGTCGCCCTTCTCTTTAACGTTTCATTACTTAAGAAAAGTAGGAATCCTTTCCCATTTGTACAGCATTTGTCATGCATATTATTATTTTAAGTTTACATGTAGATTCAATGAATCCTTATTTCATTTGGCATTACTTTCAAATATGTTATTGGTCAAACAACAAACAAACAAAACAAAAAATGAACAAAAATAGTCGGAAATAAAAACAACATTCCACTAGCTCCAATTAATCATTTGGGTAAAAAAAAGCATTGGTCCTAAAACTTCTGAATAATACAGGACCATCAACAGAAGATTTAAAAAACATATTTTTGTAAATCAACAGAGAGGTCACAGGACTGTCAGCCAAACTCACGAGTACATATTGATGATAATACATCCTCGATTACATTAAAAAAAGAGTAAATCATACACACACAGTGGCGTAGACAGGTTTGTACACCTGGGGGGGATGACTCAGGGGCGGATCTAGCTTTTTGCTAAGGGGGGGGGGGGTTGACCAAAATAATGACGATGCGGAGCATCGTCCACGAGCCGCGAAGCGGCGACCCGATTTTTTGGGGGGTGTTTATTTGAACCCCGTAAGTGATGTTTTCCTGGCATCTATTAACACAATGGAGACCATAAAAAGCAGTGCATGATAACGTCTTTTTAAATCAAGTAACAGTTAAATACACAGTTATATCCAGAGTTATCATGTGTTTGGTTAAGTTACCAGATGAGTTGAATATCTTCTCACAATATTTGCACTTGAAAGGGTTTCTCTCCAGCGTGCGTTCTTTTTTCTTTTTTTTTTTTTTTTTTTTTTTTTGGGGGGGGGGGGGGCCGCCCAAGGGGGGGGGGGGTTTAAACCCCCTAACCCCCCCGTAGATCCGCGCCTGTTTAATCTTGTGGTTATCTTGTGGTTTCCAAACCACAAGATAACCACAAAATACTTGTAAGATTTTCTTTTTTTTTACCGTCTGAATTGGCTTTCACCGTGTGAATGCGGCTAATAACAATAAACACAATTACAATAATGATGAGGATTATTATTATCATCATCATAATTATTATTATTATTAATATTATAATTGTTATCATTATTATTAATACTATTATTATCATTATTGTGACTTATTAAGTAAGCAAATATCATTCCCCAAAACCTGGGGGGGGGGGGATGATTGTACATGCCACCCCCCCCCCACCTTGTGAGGTGGGGGGGATGCATCCCCCTCATCCCCCCGGTTGTCTACGCCCCTGTACACACACACAAAGTTTTATGAGTATATCCCCAATTTTTCGTATTGGTGCCTTTCAATTGGATGAACCCTCACTTTAAAAAAATTCCGCGTCCCAGACGAGAGGTTTTTTGTAAATGAAAAATAAAAAACACACCAAAGTTCTTTTAATTATAGCTTTTGGTAGAGAGGAAGCAATCTTAAAAAAATTAAAGGAAGTGCTGAAAGGCAAAGAAAAACAACAATTATACATACGACCCCCCCCCCCACAAACATACAATAATTAAAGTCATCAGGATACACATTTTATGACAAGCAAAATATAAAGAAAGAAAGAAGAAAGAATAATGTCATCACCACCAAACGGGGCACATTATTATTATTATTATTATTATTATTATTATTTTTTTTTTTTTTTTTTTTTTTTTTTTTGGGGGGGGGGGGGGGGACTTGGATTTGGGGGCATACGCCGGTTGTGCCCTTGAACCTCACAACCTTCAGGGGATCACACCTTAAAATTGTATTATTTCATTCTTTGGCCAATGAAACATAATGAATAGGCCTACTTATCACTTGATGATTTTTTTTTTTCTCGGTATGTCGCCCCTCCACGCTTCCATCAAAGAAATCTGTTTGCGATAGCGCCCGCTATAAATCAAAAAGCAAACGTCAGCGCTATCGATATCAAGGAAAAGTAGGACTCGACGCTGAGCTTGTTTTACTTTCAATTTTGAACCTAGCTTTCCACCTTCACCACCCTTCATCATGACACGTAAGTCTGTGGATGGGATTTATTACCGTTTTATTTATCTACATTCATTTGCGGGGTTTAAGTATTTTTCCAAGGCAAAAAAGACATGGTTGCCTTTTCCGTTTCGTCGCACTGCCATCACTCCGCTGCGTCATCAATGCATTGGCATTGCCGTTAACATGATCACTGTTGTGAATTGTGGCTGCTGAGCAGTGCATGTTGAGTGTGTGGTCAATGGTGTGAGATGCTGAGAGAGAGAGTGCTGCATTGGCAAGCCAATGGTATTGCCGTTTCGCATTTCATTGTGTTGCAATTTGTATGCATACTTTTTAAATTGATGACTTGATGTTACGATTTTCACTTTAATTGTTTATCTCATTTTATTTTTTAATTGCGAAATCGCAATTTATTTTGTGACGTAGCAATTAGAAAACCACCATAACAAATTTAATGGGAAACGTTCTACGACTAGACCCCTAGTCTAGATCTACGTAGAAATTTTGGCGCTTGTTCAGAACTTTGACCATACTTTCGACCCGTTACTCCGGCATGGAGATATAACACACCAAAAAATCATCTAAATCTTCCA